GAATTAAATACAGTTGCATTGCTCCCTCTTCCTGTAAGAGGAAGAGCATCCTTTTTCAAAACAGATTATGCACAGTGTAAATGAGCCCTGACACTGTCCTGCAAAGGCACAGGGCAACAACGGTACAGTGGAGAATACCTAGCCTTGCTTCAGAAAGTATCCAGACCCTTCACTTTTTGCAGACCTTACTGTATTGTAGGTTTAATTTTAGATTGATAAAATTGCAAGATTTGCTCATCAGTCTGTCACTCATAGTGACAAAGTGAAAATGGTACCATAGATTAAAAATCAAAAACTGAAATCATTCATTTACAACAGTAATCAGACTATTAATCCAATATTTTACAGAAACCCTTCTGGGAGCAGTTACAGTCTTCTTGAGTATGTTGGGATGGTATTAGCCAGGCGATGAGCAGCGCCTGGTGTTGGCCAGACATAGTGCTCAGAGAGTTAAATTTTTGTCTTATCAGACCAGAAAATGTTTTTCCTTTAACAAAGAAGCTGTCGTCAACTGTTCCGTCTTTTACTCTTCTGTCTCGCCACTCTTCCATAAAGTCCTGATTGATCGAGAGCTGCTGAGATGACTGTCCTTCCAGCAGGTAGAGCCCACACAATACCAAACCTGAGATTAGCTTATACTTGCTGGATTTTAGTTTATGTTTATTAGCTTGTTTTTGTAGTTACTACAAATTAAAACCTGTCTTCACAGAAGTCACACATTGTGACATAATTTTTTAATGATAAATCAGATGTCAATAAGCCGGATTCCAGTCAACTGTAATTCAACCAATTTGTCTATACTGTGTTTTGGCTTTACAGTAGAAAGCTCTAAACATCCTTTCTCTCCATAGTCTACTTTGCTACCAGCGTCATTCTGCTCTTTTGAACCTATTAAGTTATGTCTCATCATGCATCAGTGGAGTTATCCATCCACCCGTCTTTGTCCTTGTCTACTGAATTATCTTTGCTCTACAGTTTTCCCACTTTCTTTCTGTTTTAACTACTATTTTGCACTTTGCTTTTTCTCACTTGCATCTCCATCATGCCTCTCTTGTCTCTTCATGCTGATACACCTTTCACCTTATTGTGTTCAATCCTCCACTTGTGTCTCTGCTACAGTGCATTACATTATGCTTTCCCTTCTTCTGCCTGACTGTTTGTGACTATTTTTTCATGTCTTTTGCGTAATAACTCAACTGTGGCTGTGCCGAAAGCAACAGTTCATTTAGAGATTGCTATTTGTGGGTACAGTGTATTCACTGCTGTTGTTCTGCACACAAAACAACAGAGAAAAATGCGAACTAAATACCTTGAATGCAAAGACAAACACAAACATAAGTCACCAACATACACGACAAAATCCTTTTGACATCAATAATTGGTAAATCCTCTGATTAACTTGTAAGAATTGTCCTTAGAGTGCTTAAGTAATTGTGTTTGTGTGTGTCCTTTTTTATTGCATGTGCCCCCCACCCCGCACCCCCCTCTTTAAAGCACATCTTTATAACCAAGCAATTCCAAAGTAATTTTCTCTGTGGGAGGAGAGTGTAATTTTCTATTCTGTGACACTGTGATGTGTAAGAAACTGGGAGCCAGCACTAAAAGGTGTCTGCAGTGTGTGTCTTGGTGTGGGTGTGAGCTGCTTTAATGGCCAATGTGGGGCGGGTGGCGGCGGTGGTAAGCGGGTGCATGTCAGGAAGGCCATCATTTAATGACTCCCAAATAGTGCCCTCATAGTTAGAGCTTTCGTCCTGGAAACACAAGGCTGTGAACCAGGAGAGTGCCACACGCTGCAACAGTCTTTTATCTTCATATTAAACCATTTGCATAACATTACCGCAATAGATAGGATTCAGGAGATACTCAGCCTACTCAGGGAGAGACCAAGAGAGAGAGTAGGCACAGGAGACAGAGAGGGTATATACATGTCCTTGCATATCTAATCAGCGTTAAATGGAGATGTCAAATGTATGTGTGTGGCACTGGATGACTCATGTCAGGAGTCATTTAATATTAAACTGCAGTAATATGTAACAAGTCTGTAATTACAAAATTCAAGAATCCAGCTATTTCTTGTTAAATGTGACATCAAATACAAACAAACAATACAGTCAAATACAACTGTTACCCACCTGTGATACACAAGATGAGGCCAGATAGTAACAATTTAGATGTCATGTGCACTTATGTCCTGCACAAAGTTATGAGGTTTTTTTTTCAGAATATGTTGAGTATATTGTACTTACTGGCAGCAGCTCTACAGAATACAAAGGAGCAGCCAATTAGAACAAATGACATTGCTACCATCTCTTAAATTGTTGATGTGGTTGACAATGATGGTAAAATTTAGTATGATATCAGCAGACTAACAAAAGACGCAATTTGATCTTTTGTGTAGATTCAACATGCACCTATGCTGCATAATGTGATGTTTTGCTTTGCTTTGCCTCTAAACAACCTGACACTGGGCTTTCCCTGGGCTCAAAGAAGAATACAAGACATTCTCATTACTGTAGTGAAACAAGAACAGGAAAGTGTGTAAGCACACACTATGTAGTTATTGCTCCTTGCTACTGCCTGATTGATTTAATCAAAAGTACACTCAATGTATGTATAATTACAGCATGGATGTAGTAGCTTATATATGGCAAATTGGCAGATACAGTGAACTGCTTAAGCTCCAGTGGAAGCATTTTATATCCACTATCATTCTTCCTTTACACTTTGACCATTGTTTGAACCTCCCTGGATGAGTTCTGGACCATTTACATGACACGCTGTACAGTATACTGTATGACATGTATGCAAAAGCTGTGCTAGAAGCCTAGGTACTGACAAAGGCCCTAATGTATGCAAAAGCTGTGCTAGAAGCCTATAGGTACTGACAAAGGCCCTGCATATCCATGTTACATCCTCACAGAGACCTCTTCTCAGGACTGAGTGGGCATATCTACTGCCAACTATGTGGTGTTCAGTGTCAAAAAATGCTTTACCCCATGAAACCAACCAGCGAGGTCTGGATTATGCCTACAAACAAGGACATTGATTCTGAGGAGGCATTTTTCATGTTTTGAGCAGTGCTAACAAAATTCTGTTCATGTCAGTTGTATATGTGAGAATCTCAGTCACTAACACCCAAACATTTTGTATGGTTAGATGCCACAGTGTGACTTTTGTGGGAGCTTTGACCCTTAAAAGGCCAGAAAATAGGATAAGAGGCAAGAAGTACCACATACTCTCACTAGTCAGTTCATCTGTTGTCAGTTTATTAAGTAACAATCTAATACAGCAGTCCTGCAACAATTCCCCCCTTAATTAATGTCATTATGTTCTCTTTTTGTTGAAACTTCAGGAAATGAAAGTAAGTCGATGCAAAGTCACCAAGAGGAATGAAAACGCATGTGTGTGTTTGAGAGAAAGATAAAGAGAGAGAGATTGCCTGTTTATACATGTGAAGATAGACTA